GTGAGGAACAGAGAATAGCAAAAACTCTGCCATCTGTGCATCTGTAATTCTCATGTTTACATCTGTGACCACGGCCTTTCCTCTGAACTCTGGACTTGTATGTCCAACTGCCCACTCACATTTTTCTTTAGATGGAAAGAAACATGTCACAGTTAACATGTCCAAAGTGAACTCCTGAGTCCCCCACAGCTCTCTCTATCTCACCTGAGGCACCTTTATTCTTCAGTGCTCAGGTCCCAAACGTGTGGGGTCTTTCTCTCCCACCCTGAATCTAATGCCTCAGAAATCCTGCAGCTCCCCTTCAGCATGCACCCAGTTTCTCCATCTTTCCCGTCTCCACTGGCTGCTGTCCTGGTACAAGTCACTTCTTCCTGACTGCACGAATGCTCTTCTCTCTGCGTCCAGTTGTAGTCTGTCCTCAAGAAAATATTATGATAACTGAAAACTTATATCAGATTATGTCACTTCTTTCTTCAAAACCTTACAATGGTAACCTTTGTCTCAGAGCAGAAGCTTAAGTACCTGAACACAGCAGGAAGATTCCACTCTCAGGGCCTTTGCACATGCTGTTCCCATAGGAAGGCTCATCCCCCAGATGACCACATGGCTCTCCCACAGCCTGCTGTTAACCTTGGCTCAGGCTCCTCCTTCTCCGTGATGCCCACCCAGACTACACTGTTTAAAACACATCCCACCTTACAGATTCCCTCAACTCTCTTGTCCAGCAACATTTAATTTTTGCTTTAGCACTTATCACTTTCTAATATTCTATATTATTTACTTATTTATTATGCCCCTTGTTTACTGTCATTTCCCCACTGGGATTATAAGCCCCATGAAAACGGCTACTTTATCTTTTTTATTCACCACCACAGCCCAAGTTCCCATAATGGTTCCTGCACATAGTAGGTATCCAAAAAACATGTGTATTATATGTGTGAATTGCCCAGTCAGACTGCTCCCCGAAAAAGTGAAGCCTATTTCCAGTGGGCAAATTTGTGGAAATTATGTCAGAAACTGAGTTTTCCAACCAGATGACTTGGAAAAAACAAAACAAAAACAACAAAAAACCCCAGGAGCATCTTGTGCATAAGCAGGAAGCAGACAACCAAAAACCCTCCCCACCGCACCCACCCTTCCCCACACCCCTGGTCACTAGCGGCAGAAATCTCATGGGCAGGACACGGGGAGAAGGTGAAACCAGTGAGCTCCAGCGTCAGGCTGTTTGAGTTCCAGTAATGGCTCTACCATTTACCCCTGAGCGCCTTGGAACTCTGTGCTCTGCTCTCTCTCCTGCGGGCAGGGTGACAAGAGGACCTTCCTTGGAAATGATGGCGACATGAGATAACGACGCAAGAATTTCCAACGGTGTCCCCAGTGGGGAGCGGTCAAGGAACTGAAAAGTCACCGCTCATTATACTTCCTGGGGCCTCGATGCCTCAACAGACATCAGGGGATATAGAGAAGGAAATGGATATAGACACAGATGCAGGTGCAGATGCAGATGCAGGTGTCGGTGTAGGTGTAGTTATAGAAATAGACATGGATATAGATGTTGACATGGATATAATTACAGAGATAGGTCACAGGGGCAGGAGTCTCTGTATCTTTTATCCCATTTTTCCTCCTCACTGCATCCATCACGGAAGAGGGATGCCATGATTATAAGGCGCAAAATTCTACTCACTTTACCAAGAGAGAAGCTTGCTTGTCTTGACGGTTTGGGGAGGGTAAGTGGTAAGTTGAGAGAAGTAGAGAGGAGGGAGAGTGCCTGAGAGGCAGAGGGAACTAACGCTCTGTTCCCGTGCATTTCATGTGGACTGGAAAGGATTTGAAGAGAACAGAAGGAAAAGCTTTTCACAAGTCCCATGCGCATGTGTGTGAGTGTGTGTGTGAACTCCCTCACACCCACTCACACACACACACAAACACGCACAGATACATGCATCACAAATATATAGAGAGTGTGGCCTTGCCTGCTGGAACACAGGGTGCTTTCAGGGTTAAGTAAAATTATAATACACATTAAAAGCTCAGTAACACACTTGGCACACAGGAACCTGTAGCACATTAACAAACGTTCCTGAGCAAACAGCAGAATCTGAACTGCGGGTCTCTGAGCGGCCCGATGGGTGATGAGGATTCTTCGGTTTACTTCTCTGTGTTTTCTGGCTTTTCCACAATCAGCCTCCACTGCGAAGCTGTGTAACATGGTTAAAAGAATGAGCTCTGGGGCTGCTCGGCCTGGGCTTGAATCCCTGCTGAACCACTGCCTCACAAAGGTGACACTGGACAAGTCAATCTCTCTGCCTCAGGTTCCCCATCTGCAAATAGGGGGTAGTAGTCATAGTCCTCACACAGGGATGTTGTGAAGATTAGAGAGTTTAATACACACAAAGTTGTCACTGTTGTGGTCTGAAGCATCATCTGTTTTGACGCCTCTGGTAACCAGGTGCAGGCTCTGGACCCACAGAGAAAATGCTCAGATCCCTGATTTCATGCTCTCAGGTATGGCTCTGTCTTTGGCCTTCTGTGCAGCCCTGGATCATACACCCTGTTTTCCTGGAGACTCTAAAATTTCAGGAGCAGAAAGAGGTCGAGGGGGAGTGAGAGGGGAGTGTACCCCAAGGGGTGCTCACCTGTGAGGCCCAGCAGTAGAGTCAGCAGCAGGCAAGGAGGAGGGTGGGGCCAGGAGGCAGGGACAGGCATCCTGGAGGCCTGGGGAGCCTGCTGTGTCCAAATGTGTGCTGGGAGAACCCGGACTCCCTGCTCTGTGAGAGGAATGAAGCCCCACCTCCTGTGATATAAGAGGAAGCGCCTAGGATGGGGTGATAAGGCTGTGGTACAGTAGCTGCTTCTAGATTCTAAACAGTTCCTGCTTCTAGGTTGTGAAATAAAGTCAGGCAGAGTAGGCAAATACAGGGTGAGAATTGCTCATCTTAGTTTTCAGAGAGGCTTGGGCAGGCCTACAGGAAATCGTGCTTCCCCCTGCCTGGGGCCTCTGCTCTCCACTGGACCCCTCAGCGCATCTGAGGTCTTCATGGTGGTGCCCCATTGGGAGCCCAGGACGAGAAGGGTCTTTGGTTGTGGGCTGTGTCCCAAACCCCAACCCCAGGATCCTAGCATGGAGCTGGCTCGTGGCCTCATGCACACCAGCCTCAGCAAGACCTAGTCAGCAGGAGGAAGGAAGAGGGCTCACCTGAGCCTGGTCCACACTGGGATGGAACCAGGCCTGCTCCTGAATGACTCTGTATCTCAGCCCTTTATTGGTGTAACTTAGCTCAAATGTAAGTGTAAGGTGGACCTCATAACTGGTATGTGCCTCCATCCAACAAAAGGAATAGTATCCGGACTTCTTCAGGGAAGGGAAGTAGGTCATATGACCCAGCAATTACACAGCATTTATCTCAGAGACATGAAATCTTATGTCCACACAAAAATATGTGCATGATGTTTATAGTAGCTTTCTCTATAATAACAAAAAACTGGAAAATGTCCAATAATAGGTGAATAGTTAAACAAACTGGTGCACCTATACAAGGAAGTACTACTCAGCAATGAAAAGGAATGAATTATTTACATGTGCAACAATCTGTAAGTTTCTCAAACACATTATGTTGGGTGAACAAAATCAATCTCAAAGTGTCACAGACTGTATGATTCCACTTATATCACATTCTGGAAATTATAAAATGAAGAGCAGATTGGCATTTGAGAGTGGTACAGCGAGGATGGGGTCACTATAAAGGCCTAGCCCAGGGAGACCTCTGTGGTCTGCATCCTGCCATGGTGGTGTGTACACAAATGTACACGTGAGGGATCAACATAGCAAAGAAGGGAATGTTACTAAATTCAGCTGTAAATGCCAATTTCATGGTCATTATAATGTAGACACTGATTATTCAGTTATTCAGAATTATAACAATGATAGTAGGGTGGTGGAATAGACTGTGTGCATGTGGGGCACGAGGTCAGGAGTGACAGAACCTTATGTCCCATCTTCCTTAGTGGATGGGCCATAAATCATGCCGAAGGGTGAGAAATCAAAATGAGAAATAGAAGCATGCTGTATGAGATGTGGCAGCAAAAGCTAAAATAATTAGTTAAAAGAGCTGAAAATGGTTGCTTCTGAGAGGCAAAAAATTGTGGGAGGTTAGGGAGACCCGGTTTTCACAAGCAGAACTTGTAGAACCAGTTGACTCTTCAATCGTGTGCATATGTAACTTTAATAAAGGTAGAAACCAACTCTAGGTAACTAGATTAACGTTGTAAGAGTTACACAAAAAAAGAATGCCCAGACTATTATTAACACTAGTAAGAGTTTTATAAGCTGCTGGTTGTAAGACTGCTGGTCAAAATCAATTAACATCCTAAAGAGTAGCCAAAACCCACTGAGAACAGTAATTGTGATTTTAAAAGATCCTATAAACTAGAAAGTGTCAAAGATAACTCTAATTAGAGATGCACAAGAACATTAATTTATGTGAATTGTGAATTGAAAGTCTTTTAAAAACCTAAGTAAATAGAGGTATATTATATCCATGGATGGGAAAACTCAATATTAATATATAAATTCGACACAATTATATAATAATTCTAAGAGGATTTTTCGTGAAACCCGACAAAGTCATTCTAAACTGCATTTGAGTCAAGACTAGCTCAAGAAGATTTTCCCAAAAGAAGTTCAAAATTATTATAAAGCTATCCTCGTTAAGACAGGGTTGTTCTGACAGAGAGATGGACAAGTAGCTCAATGCAACAGAAAGCTCATAAAGAAAATCGTATATGTACGGAAACTTGATATATGGCAAAGGTGGCAGTGTGGGTCACCGAGTGCTGGATAATTAGAATTCATCCTTGTGGAAGAAAAAGAACAACTGGTGGTTGCCAAATGGGAGGGGCCCGGGGGGCTGGGTGAAAAGGGTCAAGGGATTAAGAAGCACAAATTGGTAGTTACAAAATGGTTGTGGGGATGTAAAGTGCAGCTTAGGGAATATAATACAGTCAATAATATTGTAATTACTCTGAATGGTGCCAGGTGGGTATTAGAATTACTGGGGGATCACTGTGTAAATTATATAAGTGTCTAACCACTATGATGAACACCTGAAACTAATATAAAATAATACTGAATGTCAACTGTAATCGAAAAAGAAAAGATCCCTACCACCTATAATACACATAGACACAGGTACCAGAAAAACATGTCTAGGTCAGAGGCATAAATCAAAGAGCAAAACTTGATAAAAAATTTAAAGCTTATCTTTGTATAACAAAAGCTCCCAAATGATACCAACACTGTTGCTTATGGCCCAAACAAGAGGAACAAGAGGGACTCTCCCCAAAATGTGTGACAGCTCAGAGCTCTTAGAGTTCATGGCTTAGCCAAGGAAACAAAAATAGAATGTGTGTTGCCAAGGTGCACTAGCAGGACATTAAATAAAGTTTCAGTTCCATCTAGAGAAGCATCGATAGATTGTAGCATATCTTACAAGAAAAAACTGTAGAGCAGTAGGAAATTAATAAAATATAGCTATATATATCAACATTATTAAAACACACAAAACAGTGTTAAGCATAAAAATTAAGTTCCAGAATGTTGTATACAGTATAATAGCATTTATATAAAATTTAAAACATGTAAAGTTTCTTCTCTCCAATTGAGCCTTTTGGGGAAGGCAGGATGCAATGGATCACAGGGCAGGCAGGAGCTGTAGGAAAAATCATTCATTATTCATTTCACAAATATTTATTGAGCATCTGCTAAGTGACAGGCATTCTGCTTGGCCTGGGTTCATGGTGCAGATCAGAAATGAAGCCCCTAAAAACTACACTTCAGTGCTTCTTTCTGAGTTCTGAACTCTCTTCCACAGCCACATTCATCTTCACGGCTAGTCAGCTCCTGAAAGTCGCTTACATAAGATTTATTAGTTGATTTTGCCAATACTTCCTAATTCATCCCAAACATATATCATATAAAAACTAAAATAAATAGTAATTTATGGAGGGACTCTTTGGAGTTTGGGTCTCAAAGGTTTGACCTTCATCCCACTTGTACACCTTGGATCTCCCTCCTCTGAGGTCCCAAGGAATGTAATTTGAAAACCTTTGAACTCCAGGGCACTGAAAAATGCATGCGAGTTCAGAGCTCTTAGAATTCCAGGAGACGTCTGAAGAAAATAAGTGTTCACAAATGTTTCTGGAGGCTGGATCGCCACTGTGGGGACCATGTGACTTTGTGGGAGTGCCCTGGACTCCACTTGCCAGCCCCTGACAACAGCCCTGACATCCCTCCCTAAGGACTAAGGCCTGCCCCCAATTTACCTGTCGCAGGTCCCACCACCTGTGGACGTAGACGACTGTGAAACTGATCACCAGCAGCACCTTGAGGCCCAGGAGAAAAGCCACAAAGATAAGGGCAGTCATCTCTGTACCTAAATACCAGCGGGCACAAGGAGACATCAGCTGGGGCTCTGTGAGTTTACGTACCTCCTCCAATGTCATACTGCCAGGAAGTTTCAGAACCACTATTTGCATCCATTTCTACCTGATTCTAAGCCCATGTTCATTCCTCTACACTCAGCTTCTTCTTGGAAATAAGAGATGACCTTGATCTTTTAGCTTCACCTTGAAAGTGACTCAACAAATATTGATTTTGAGCACCTGTCACACACCAGCCAGTGTGCCAGCGTCTAGAGATACAAACCTCTAGAGGTATAAAGCTCAGCATCCTCAAAGCCGTGTAGTCATTTAAATTAACCTTTTATACAATCTTAGGAGGTTGGTATCATTAGCACCATTTATAGATTAATAAACTGAGGCTCTGAGAGGATAATTGACTTGGTTCCCTGAGTTTACAAAGCTATAATTACTGTAAATTAAACTTTAAAATAATTTTGTTGGAATTCAAATAATAATAGTAGCTGACATTTACTGCAGACATATATGTAGAGTTTATATATATTAATTCACTTAATCCTCATAAGGACTCTATTAGTTAGGAACCTTCATTTGACCCATCTACACTGCATTAGATTCTTCTCCAGATGAGTAAGCTGAAGCACAGAAAGGTTAAGTACCTGTACAAGAATTAAATGAAAAAGCCTGCTGTCATTAGAGCAGACATCATGGGGTTCACAGGGTAAGGCTGATAGACAAGTCTCTTCATATATAACCCAAAGACACTATTTTACCAAGAAATCGTTGCTAAAGGCCATCTCAGAATAACTGGTAAGTGAGCATCCCAAGCTGAGCTCTCGGGAATTTCCAAGGAGGTTGAGCTGGGAGATTGTCTCTCCTCAGAAATGAAAGAACCTTTCAGGATGGCCACATCTAAGGGAAGACACAGGCCAGAAGCCATTCTGGTTATTCAAGGACTCACAGACTCTTAAGTTGGGCAAGACTAACAATTACCCCCCCTCCCAATGCCTTCTGGAATCCGCTCAGGAGAGGGAGATGACCCCGCTGCCCACAGGAGAAGAGGTCGGCTTACCTGGGCTTTCAATGGGCTTGTACGTGGCGTGGGCTGCTGGGAACAGTATGAGGTGGGCCCGGACGGGAGTCCGTGCCTCATGCTGCACCATACAGGTGAGCACCCTCTCAGACCCCTGCACGGACGCGTTCACCCATCGCAAGCTTTCCAGGGTGTAGGTCCCATCGCTATTCTGCCTGGATGTGGACTGCTCAGCTCCCTTGAATGCATCGCAGTTCTCCAGCCAGGTAAGATTCACACTTTGTGGATAGAATCTCCGCACATGGCAAGTAATGGCCGCCAAGTCCGAGACGGGTGAAGCCTGGGAAACTGTCACTGTAGGGGAAACTGACAGCCCAGAGAAAGCGGACAATTACTCTAGGAAGTCTACTGTGGGAGCCTGGGAGCTCCTCGAGGATGGGGTCATCTTCCAAGGGCCTGTCACAGAGGAGGATTTATGTGACAGATGCATGCGTAAGTCCATGCGTGATGAATGAGAGTGTGAATGCATGAGCGAACGCGTGCTTGGATGGATGCATGGATGGGTGGATGCATGCATGCATGGATGGGTGGGTGGTGGATAGGCGGATAGATGGGAAAGATGAAAGCCATCCTAATTGTTCCTCTCTTTTCCATTCTGGTCATTAAAGATGAAACGATGAAGTACGATTCCATTTAAGAATCTATGAACCAGTTGACTAATCTATGACTTGGTAATGCTAAGATTTGAAGATTCATACACTCCAAATCTTTATGACTCAGATACTAAGGTTTTACATAAGAGGGAACATGGGTTAGGAGAGGTTAAGTAGCACACCTGTCACAACTTGCACAAGGTCACAAGTGGTTGGGATTATGTCAGAGACAGTATGTTTTACTATTATGTTATTCTGACACCCAAACTTTAAGGCTGTGGAATTTAAGATTCCTGGCTTCTGAAATTTTGATCTAATGACTTCCAGACTTTTTTCAACCAGACTTTCAGTTGTGCAAGAGAATGTATTCATAATGAGAAAAATTTGGAGGATTTTTAAATACTATACAACATGAAATGTTTCAGTACAATTCACAGGAGTACATAGCATGGTATAGTTCTAACAGTACACCAAGGGATGGGAGATACAGATTCTGGTCCCTGCACTGACACCGCAGCCAACTGCCAGACCTTGCATAAGTCACTTCCTTCCCCTCTATTTTCAAGACTCTTAAATTATGAAGTTGTCTGAGGTGAGATCAGCTCTCACGGGGCTAGTGAAGACAGACTTCAGCTCTGGGTCTAGAGTAGAGAGAGTAATTCCTTGTGTTGTGCAGTTTGAAGGAACTAAGGGTATCTGACCCCAAAATATCCTGTCTCCATACTCAGCCCACTATTAAATTCCATCAATGATGATGCTAATGAGTGGGACAGCCACAGCAAGACATCATCCCCAAAGGTCACGATCTATCCTCAGTCTTTCCCCTTCAGCACACAAGCAGAAATTCATACCAAGCAAAGAGCAGGACCCCGAGAAGGAGAAAGCCAGGGCGAAGGCCTGGTGACTGGGGTGGTGCCGAGCGTCATGGGCTCTAGATGGTGGCAAGGACCAAGAAAAGGGTGGAGATGCTCAGACGGCGCACTGCAGCCACCAGCGAGTTCCCCTGGCCATCCGGTGCCCGCGGCAGTGTGAGAAGGTAGAGACTGGGCACATCTGATGGTAACTGCTTCCATCACTGCATGGCAGTGCTCGGGGTAGTGAACATGCCTTACCTCATCCTATCAATCTCCACAAAACCAAAGGAGATAAACACAGAAAGCTACTTGGTATCAGAAAACAAAACAAAAAGCCCCATAGAAGGAACCTATGCAAAATCGGAGCTCAATTTCATAGAAATTGCCAAAAAGGAATTGGTTGAAACTTCACCTTGGAAAATATTTCAATAATAAAAAAAATAATTTTATTAACTTGTGTTAACACAACTCTTAGAAGGAGCAAGGGTTGGGAGTGTGAGGAAGTTGGCATAATTTTTTTTGCAAAATCATATAGTACAGCATCAACAAATCCTTCACTTTAAACTTCACACCCACAGCACAATCATTAACAGGAAATCTTGAACAATTACTCGAGTGCTCTGTCAGATTTCACAGGGCCCCTTTTTAATCAATGTTCTCTCTGAGGTGCCCCTAGGACCATTGGAACCACAGATCTGTTTTGATTTTTCCACCTTTAAGCACTCCATGGCCTTGCCTGTGATCTCAGAAGTTCCCCAACATCGTTTGCATCAACTTTCTGAAATAACCTTTGCCAGGTCTCTGACTTCACTTAGCAGCGGCTGTGGATTCTGTGTGTGCAGTGTGGTCTGATGTTTGCCACAAGTCAATCAAGGCAAGACCCGCCTCCTGGAGCAGAGGGTTTCTGGGGCTCCACAAGCCTCCCCCCACCAGTCACCTCCCTCTGCCAGCTACTGTCTTAGCACTTGGCAGTGGTGCTGGGTGGCGCCACTCCCCATCTCCAATGCCTGAAATGCCTCCCTGACTCTCTGCTCCAGGTTCCTTCATAACCTTGAAGCACCACCCAGCTCACCCAGGCCCATCCCAGCCTCCCCTCCTTTGTGGGGACAACCCTGAGAAATACTCTCCACAGTTCCTTAGAGAGTCCCCAGTGGTGCTGAGCCTCAGTCATCCATAGGGACACCCAGTTCACTACCTCCCCTTTTCTTGGGTGTCCGGCCCTCCGTGTCTCACTCTCCCCATCCCTCATTCCGCCTGCACCCAAGTCCTGGTTGCAGGCTCTGCTTTCAGGGGAACCCAAATAAAGACACCCACGAAGGCATTTCTGGGACAGGAAACCCAACCTGAGATGCACAGTGTTGAGCAAGGAAGGGTCTTGAGTGGGGGCTCATTTTATAAGTAATCAGTTCATTTGTGAATACTTGCATTTTCTATGATTTCTGCTTCTCTACCCAACTGTCCTAACTTCAGGGAATTGTATGATAAAAACTTAGTTCAGGAGGACACCCGAATGATCATTTTCCTATTTTACAGGCAAAGATACTGAGGCTGAGGGAATTCAAGCAACTAGCAGGAGATCCCACAGCTTGTAAGCAGCAGTGTTAGAAGCCAGAGCTCAGGTCAAATACCCCTCCCCCAGCTTTATACACTCAGGAAGCTGCCCCTACTTTGAACTTCAGCTTCCTTCTGTAAGCCACAAACTGGACAAACAGTACCAGGCAGTAAATAAGTAAATAAGTAAATAAGTCACCCTCACGAATGTGTTTTCTGACCACGTGCTGTGCTCATTTGAGGCGTTAGTATCAATAGTTTAATCCATGTAAAATGACGTGTTTACTTTCATGATAAGAGCGCACAAAGTAAAGAGAAAAATATTTTGTACACTTTAAAGTCCTATATACATGTAAGGAATTAATTTTACTGCTGTGCAACTTTGGACCACTCACTTGCCTTCTCTGGGCTTTACAGTTGTCATTAAGAATGGGATGATCATGAAGACATAACATCCTTCCAGGCATGATATGTTATGACCTCACTGAATTTACATACCTGTCAAGAATTGGTTCAGGCCAGAAAAATCGACTAAAAATACCAGATGAAAAATTAGGCTCTTATCCAGGTATGAGTAATGAGCAGAAGACATCATAGTCCCTTAAATTTAGAAGTTTAAAAGCCCTTTATTTCCTCTTCATATAAAATAATAATAAAATTAAATTTATGATTTATTCCTGAAAGGTATTTTGTCTCCATTATACAGATGAGATAACTGAGTTCTGAGGGGTGATGTGAATAGTAATAATAATAATAAATAACAACAAACAGTTGCTACTTCTGCATGGTTAATATGAGGAAGGCATGTCTTCAGCAGGTATCTTTGGATTGAATCTTTGCTATAAACAAGTGAGGGATGTGCCAATTTTCAGGTGAGGAAACTGAGGCTCAGAGACATCCACAACCCAACTAGCCCCGCTGAACAAAGAGAAACTCCTTACCACGGAGGTACTGGCTCAGATTGACAGCTTCCTGGAGAACCAGTTTGGACTCGAGATAGACGAGGCAGAAGACCTGGGAGAGCACATCATCAGCCTGCAGGGGGATGCGCACACTGCTGGTCACATTGTAGGTGTCTCCACTGAGGTGGACACTGGTCTGGGGATTCAGCAGCGTGTGGTTGTTTTTCACCCAGGTCACCGTGACCTGCTGTGTGGACAATCTGGTGGACATGTACATCAGCTGGATGCTTGTGCCCGGCTCAGATCGCTGAAGGGGGCCTTTCAAGGTGTGAAAGACCCTCCTACCTGCGAGAAGACACATTCCTGTGAGAGGGCGCAAAGGTGCCCAAATCCCAGTGAGAACAAATCCTCAGCATCTCTACCAAGAAGCCTCGTTGGCTCCTTGTCATTGGGTTTAAAGATTACATTCTAAAACGGTGGGGAATGTCCGGCCCACAGGGCATACACAGCCTGCAAAATCATTTGGTCTGACCCTGCCAAGACCTCACCAAAGAGAAGCAGTTCCAGCCATCACATCAGGGGTGAGTTAATTAAATATTTGACCAAATATAGTAGGCTAACTTTTAAGTTGATAATTTTGTATGGCCCGCAAATGATGTTATAAATACCCTTGGCAGAAAAAAGGTTCCCCACCCCTGTTCTAAAAGGAGTTCATTTCTGAAGCTGATATCAGAAGCCAGCGGATGAAACTACAGGGGACCCCAGCAGTGAATGCTCTGCGGGCATCAGCCCAACATGAAAGGAGGCACAGAGCTGGCAGTGCCTTAGGGTGGGGTGCTGAAGAATGGTTTTCTGGGCCAGGTTGGGGAGGTGTAGCTGCAAAGGTATGCTAACACCAAATGCCAGGAAAAGAAGTTGCCCTTCCCCGCCCGACCACAGGGCACTGGGAGCAGCTGCACGGGCAGGTCGGATCGAGCGACGGTCTGGGGGCAACCTTGCGGCGGTGGGCCGCAGACGCTGCCTGCAGCAAGGACACACCCGGAGGAGGGCTCAGAGCGAGGCCCTGCGGGGCGGGTCAGTGAAGACACAGCGTAACCCGCTCTGATCCGAAAGGACCAGTGCGCAGTTTTCACTCAAATCTGAATATCCCTCTGGGTGAACATTTTTCATATTTCCGTTTGTCAAGAAACTAGGGCCTGCAGAAATCGAATGGCGATGGAGACCATT